GACACACATCTGGAGGAGAAAGGGGGTTCATCCAGTCCTCCAGGCAGGTTCCAGCTCCCCTCTGGTGGGTGTGGTGGAGCAAATCCGTGGGGGCCCCCTCTGAGGTGGGGGTGCACATTGATCCTGCTCCTCAAATCTTGTGCAAACCTTTGCAAACCTTCCCTTGGACACTGCTCAGAAACCTCCACTTCATCTTTCTTTGGGATATCTCAAAAGTAATGCTCTTAAAAGTAATAAAAATCCTACTCTTCTCCCCTCTGCTCCACTGTTGTCCTGCCCAGGAACCCCAAGCCCCGCACAGACCAGATCACAAGACAAGATCTTCTGCTCCAAACTCCACTAATCATGTCCTGTGTGACCCCTTTTCTTCCAAAGCTACAGCCTGACCTGGTCAGCAGGGATTTCAGGACCTTTTCCTTTCATTCCACACCGAATCTCAGGTGGCACCTTGGGTGGTCTCATCACAGAAACGATGCAACAAGAGAGAAGAAGAGTCAAACATTAAAACAGACCTTGTGCTCTGAAAAGTGCGAAAATGCAACGGTCCTGCTGCTATTCATTGTCCTGGAGAATTTTTGGAGAGTCCTTGGCATTGTCAGAAGTGTGACACCAGCAGAGCCTGAGGAAGGAGAAACACAGTGGATTTCTCCCCCGGTAGGGAATGAGGGTGGTTCTGCAGTTATCCAAAGGAATGAGAAGTTCCTTCCCTGTGTACCAAGAGCCCTCGGGTTTTTCTTCTCCTCAGTGCAAGTCTTGGGAGAAGGAACTTCAAGGTGAACTCCACAAGTATTATTATTGTTATTATTATTATTATTATTAATTCTTTTTTGTACAAGTGCTACAGCACGGCCTGGACACGTGACAGGCTCCTGACACCAATCCATGATTTTATGGCTACCTGAGGTAGCACCAAGAACATCTGCTGGGAGTGGGCTTAGGGTTCAATCAGGGTTAAAGCCAAAGGGAGCCACGTTTTTGCACACAGAACAGTTTGGGGTGGAAGGGATCTTTAAAGGCCATCCAGTCCAACCCTTTTGGGGTGAGCAGGGACATCTTCCCCTAGATCAGGCTGCTCAGAGCCCCATCCAACCTGACCTGGAATGTCTCCAGGGATGGGCAACCTGTGAGAGTGTTCTACAAGATAAAATCCCTCTGCCGAAAGCCTGGGAGGAATCAATCACTGCTGGGGTGATTAAGCTTAAATCCTACACTTTTGCTGCCTGTTGGACTCCAGGAACCTCCAACTGGATCCACACTGGGAAGGCAAATTTGCAAAGAGCTCCCTACTCAAACCGAGCCTCTGTGAAGCCTCTACGGAAACAAACCCCAAAAGTGGCCAATTCCTTGACAACATCCCAATTTGGGCAGAACTGAGCCCAGTTTCACACTGGCTGTCCCAGGCTGTCCCTCCACGGCTCTCCCCGCTCACCAGGCACACTGCACACACCAGCTGGGAATTTGTCAGGTTTTTGGTTTTTGTTTTGTTTTTTTTTTGCTAAGTTTTTATTTTTAATTCAAGGACTTTGCTTCATACAAAATGTTAATTGTAGAAACAACTGCAGAATTCAAAGTTTGGCTGATAAATATTAAAGTTTTTTGTTTTTTTTTTTTTTTTTTTTTTTTTTTTTTTTTGGTTCCCTCCTTTTTATTTTTTTGGGTAAAGCTCCGCTTGTGTTGCATGGTCGGAACTTCGCTCATTTTTAACACTGTTTTTTTGAAATATAAACTTTTTGCAACAAACCCCCAATTTATATCAAATATAATTAAAAATTAACAACTGATGAATACATTGTATCAAAAAAGTACGAAGATAAACATTTTTTTTTCCATGCACATACTTTTTTTTTTTTTTTCTCGTTTCCTTTTATATATATGTATATATGTATATATTTTACATGCAAACATTACTTAATTCAAAGTACAGCCACTACGAGACTGGTTCTGGATGCAGAAAACTGATCGGTGCAATTCAAGTTTGGCAACTCACTATGAGGAATCTCGGAAATATTATGGGTGCGTTGAAGAGACAGCAGAGAGGCTGCAAAAAAAGGTCAGGGGAGGGTTATGAACAGTTGTGGTCAGGCTTGGCTGTCACTGCCATCGACCCCTGCGAGGCGGGGGGAGGATTTAGACAACTTAAAATGCTTCTTCATGTTCTGCCTAAGAACTGGGGGTGACCCAAGGCTGTGTTTTAGTGCAGGGCTGGGGGTTTTGGGGGGTCTAAAACGGGAGAGGAAGGGGGAAAAGACAGAATTATTCCGTACAGAAAGACATCTCTTTTGCTTCCCATTTTTTTTTTTACAACGTTTGCATGCACGGGCAGAGAGATTGTGTTTCCCCTCCCCTTCAACCTCCTGGAGTAAAAGAGGAACGTTTTCTTTAAAACTTTTCGAACAAAGTGTTTGTGCCTTCGTTTAAGGGAGGAGAAAAAAAAAAAAATAAACGTATCAAACATTTGGTCACAATCACGCTGAAGCCTGAAACAGGAAAATCCAGCAGATAAAGCTACGGGATGGATGAAGGTCTTTCTGACTGTGGGTGGTTTGGATGTGTGTCCGAACGTGTCATCTTGTTGCATAGCCCTCCTTTTGGGAATCCCAGCCCGGCCCACGGGGAGCTCCGGCTGCCACACTGCCGTGATTGGAAGTGCACAGAAAAAATACAGAGACAGGGATACAGACAGGAGTTCTCCTTCAGCAGAATCCAGGGATGAGATCGGCCAGAGGTTGTTCTTAACGGAACAAAAGGAAAAAAAAAAAAAACAACACGGAAGGAAACGGAAAAAAACCCCAACAAACCAAAACCAGGTTGAATTTCCTCAACGGAAGAGCTACAGGAGATGTGAAGAACCACCCTACAGCAAACTGCTCCCTGCCTGAGGCTGAAAGGCTTTTGCTGAGAGCACGAGAGACCTCCTGAGCATTTTGGTAGCATCCAATACCTTCCAACCTCCCCAGTGCCAAACGGGATCACCGGGATCCAGCGGGATCTCTCCCCGTCCCAAGCAACCACTTCATCTGGAGAAGCTTCACAGTTCTGGGGCTTGGGAGATCCTCTGAAAAAATTCCTCTGTGCAACCCTCTCCTCCTTCCTAACAGGGTTTTTAGGGATGTGCTTGTCTGACACCTCCCACCCTTCTTCCTTCCACCTTTATTCCTGGTGTCCTCTGGCCACCCTGTGCCCCAAAGCAGCCCTACAACAGCTCAGCAGAGCCAGGGATGGGAGGTCCTGCCCAAGCTTTGCTTCCAGCCTCCCTCCCCGCCAGCACAGCGCGTTTGCCCCTTTGCCAGGCTCACAGTGCAGAAATCCACAGGGGCACAGAAGAAAGAAATCATCCAACGCAAGAGTCGTTGCAAGAACACAGAAATCTCATCCCTGAGAATCAGAGTTAGAGGTTTTGATTATTATTATTATTATTATTATTATTCTTTTGACCTTCTCTTAACAGGCAATAAAACCAAGGCTCACTCCAACTGCCCTCCACAAGGATGATGCCCCACGGAGCACGGCCAGAGCTCTCACAGTCCGGGTGAGACGCTGCTCCTCCTGCAAGAGCATCCCTGCAGATGCTGGACTCTTCCACCTGCATCCCTCCCTCAGAGCTAGTCAATGAGAAAAGGCCGGGTTTGTTTGCTGCAATCACTCCCCTCCCACCGATAAAACCAAACCAAATCAAATCAAATCAAATAATAATAATAAAGAAAAAGGCCAACAAAACCCAAACCAACCCCAAAGCGTGTTTGCCTTCCCCGCTGGAAGCTTCCAACCTGGCACTCGAGTGCACTGTGGGGGCGGTGGGAGCCCCGTGGACCCTCCAGGGCGAGGGGCTCTCCGGGCTCTGCCCTCCCTCCTGCCCCTCCTGCCCTCCCCACGCTCGCCCAAGGTCTGATGCATCGAAGCAAAGAGGTTGCATCGTCACTGTGAAAGATTTCAAAGGTTAGGCACTTAGTAGTGAACAACTGGAGCATTCGGTAGAAACGGTGGGACCTGGAATGACAATTGGACTAATTCTCTACATAAAGAGTAAATTTTTTTTTTCTCTTTTTTTTTTCTTTTTTTTTTTTTTTACTGTACAATTTACAAAAATGCACACAATGAAAAGTTAAAGTTCTATCTAATAGCTTGATATAAAACCAATAACATTTCTTCTTCTCACCCCTACGCTTTTTCCTCTTTTTTTTTGTTTTGGTTTTTTTTTTCCCTTTTTTTCCCTTCAGGATAATTTTTTTTTTTTTAAGTTGTGGGGGTTTTTTTGTGTTTTTTTTTTTTTGCTAAATCAAGCTTATATTGTAAACAAGACAAAACAGTGAGAGGCGTGTTGCAGAGAGGGGCGGAATGGAAAGTCTCAGCAGCAAGGAAAACAGTCCTTACAAAGTAGCTCTCTTGTGGCTTTGTGGTGTGTCAGTGTGAAGGACCCGATGCGGTGGGTGGGGTAAGAGGGACCCCCACGGCAGCGCTGTCACAGCAGGGTCCCGGCTGCCGGGGTCACCTCTGGGGTGGGGGTGGCACCAGCTCTGCCAAAAAGGAATTCCTGTGGCTGAACATCAAGTCCCAATGGACTGTCCTTTGTTCCGGGCTGTGTTCCTCCTCTCCCAGGGTACATCTCTCCCTTCGGAGCGGCCGACAAGGCCGAGCGCGGGTGTGATCCTTGTCCCCGTGTGTCCTTTGCGACCCCCGACTCCCACCCTGACCGGGGAGGGGAAAAAATGATGCTGATAAATTAACTGAGAAATGGCCCAACAAAAACTGTGCTGATCTCGGGAAGGACGGACAGTTGCTCTTCCACCACCGAAGGTGAGGATCCCTCTTCTCTCGGCTTCTCGCCTCTGTCGCCAATTTGGCATCTGGTGCGTGTCTGTGACTAGACAGGGCAGTGGGGAGGCGGGCCAGGGGGGACAGAGAGATGTGCTGCCTTCCCCCAAAAGGAGGGAGCCTTCTTCCTCCATTTGTCTAGTGCAAAAAAAAAAAAAAAAAAGAAAAAGAAAAAAGAAAAAAAATAAAAATAAATAAAGAACAAAGAGAGGAGAGAGGCTGCAGGAGCGTCTCCGGCCCCGGGGGCGCAGAGCAGTTCTCGTGGCAGGGGCTGCCCCGCCGGCCTTCCAGATGATAAAACTCATCATAATTAAACCCGCCCGCCGCGGAGGGCTCTGCCAGGCCGCTAGCACCAGTCGTCCTCGTCGGCTTCGTGGTAGTAGCTACGTCCTCTGGTGCCGGCGCCGGGGCCCGTGTTGAGCCCCAGCGTGTAGTGGTAGCCGTTGGGCACGCGGCGGATTTGGTGCGACTGGGAGGTCAGGGAGGAGACGTAGGAAGTCCTTGAGGAGCGCCCCGAGTTGGTGGCCACGGCCTCCTCGAAGGTGAGCGTGTCCTCGGGCGCGGCGCGCGAGGGGCTGTCGGCGTCGTCGCGGGGCCCCAGGTAGGGGTCGGAGCCGGTGCGGGCCACGGGCGGCGGGGGCGGTTGGTGCTCCCCGCGGAGCAGCGCGTTGTGCTCCGACAGACCGCGGCTCAGGCGTCCCGGGGAGAAGGTGGGGAGGCCGGGTTGGATACTGGTGAAGTGCACGGGCGAGGAGTTAGCGGTCTTGTAAGTGATGCTGGGGCGTGGGGTCAGTGGAGTCTGTGGGAGCTGCCTCCGACCCCGGCATGGGGTACTAGCACCAGATGTCGACAGCAAGGGGCTCCCATTAACTGAACCACTGCCCTACATAAAAATTGGAACAAAGCAAATCAAAAAATAAAAAAGGGGGAAACACCGGACAAACACAAAGGCAGGCAGGTGTAAAACAGAAGGAGAAGCAACAGAAGGGAGAGACAAGTCACAAGAGGGAAGAGAAGCAAAAAAGAGAGAGTTTAGACAAGCACGGTCAGGGGGAGGAGGTTCTCCAGAAATAATTCAACACGAGATGTAAAAGAGCTGGAGAGTTCAAAGTTCTGCGAGCGGTGAGTAAGGACAGGGAGGGGCAGAGCATCGGTAGGACGCAAACTGGGACACGGCTCCGACAGGAGGGGACACTGCCCGGGGGGAAGGACCCACAGCATACACAGGCTCCACATGCGCCTTACCTGGACTGGGCAGGAGCAGCTCAAAAACCCGCTTCGTTCGGGGCATTTTAGACAAAACCAAATCTGCTCTGGGGTGGATTTGTGCAGAACTGCACCCAAGGGTCGGGCTGGTCTAGCGGGAGGGGTCCCTGCTCGTGGCAGGGGGATGGAGCGAGATGAGCTTTAAGCTCCAACCCAAACCGTTTTGGGATTCTGGGATGCTGTTTCTGAGGTCAGAACTGGATGATGTGGGAGGAGGATCCGGGGGACTGGGTTTTTTTGTACATTGGAAATTACATGTATTTTGATTAAATAGCCATTTTCTGAAAAAATAATAACAAAAGGCTTTTTGGGCAGGCTTGAACTAACAATTTCCTTTAACAGAAATGTGTCACCTTCTCCTCTTCTATACTACACATTTGATTTTTGAGTGGTAGAACAGCCTGACAGCTTTCCTGGGTTACTAATAACGACACATGAGAGTGACCTAAGCTGCAGTAATTTAAAAAAATGCCACGAGTGAGAGGAACAGGCCCTTGTTTTGGCATTTGAGTTTACATTCTCCCAGGGCAGTACATGACCAGCCCTGTGAGAGTGTTTTAAAAATCCCTCAGCCTTTTGTGACCTAACATTTTGAGACCAGACCTTTAATTTTTAAAGAGCAGTTTTCCTTCCTATCAAACAATCGGGTTGTTGCTTGTCGGGCTGTCAATCAGGGCTTGTTCTGCTCTGCCTGGGTTTTTTCCCCATGTGGTTTTCCTGGCAAATCCAGCAGTGCTGGAGGCTGCCTGGAGAAAAGGAGGCTCAGGGGGAACCTTCTGGCTCTGCAACTCCCTGACAGGAGGGGGGAGTCGGGGGGGGGTGTCAGGCTCTGCTGCCAGGGAACAAGGGACAGCAGAAGGAACACCCTCAAGTCGTGCCAGGGGAGGTTCAGTTTGAACATCAAGAGGAATTTCCTCATGGAAAGGGTTGTTAAGCGCTGGAAGGGGCTGCCCAGGGAGGTTTGGAGTCCCCATCCCTGGAGGTGTCCAAGGAAGGACTGGATGTGGCATCAGTGCCCTGGGCTGGGGGACAAGGTGGGCATCGGCCACAGCTTGGACTTGATGGTCTGGGAGGGCTTTTCCAACCTTAATGTGATTCCACATTGTTTTGATAAGTACTGAGCTGCCTAAATTCTTTTTAAGGCATTTTCAAACTTTTTTTTAATCCAGGAAATGGTCTCGATAGTAAAAAAATGGCGAGGTCTTTGTTCAAAACGTCCAAGAAACCACTTCCTGCTGAAACATTCTGAACTTCCAAGACAAGAGCTGCCACTTGTGGGGTCCCCCAGGCTGCTGTGTTGTGTTAGCAAGGATGCCCTTGGCAGTGGGGCCTTGGGCACACGGTGTGACTCTTGGCGATGGTCCAGTGCAGGGCCAGGAGTAGGACTCGATGATATTTTGGGTCCTTTCCACCTCAGCACATTCTGTGATTCTGTCTCTGAGAAGCCTCGAGTCCCTCACTCTGTGTTCAAAAGCCATCACGTGACACTTCCATGCCTGTTTTAGGTGTGAAGCACCAAGCAGGACCCCAATGGAGACCCCAGTCCACCCCTGCCTGGCCTTCCCTCCCCGTTCCATCTCCGTTCATTTGAGCAAAACACGGAAAAGGTGCACAAACAAGCCCCTGGGAGACCTCAGGGCTGCTGTCCCACCCTGCCTCTCCTCACCTGTCTGTGTGGACCTTGCTCTGGGCCCCCGTTGGGGGAGGTGGGTCTGCTCTGCTCAGCAGACTTGGTCTGGGAGCGCTCCCGGCTGCCGTAGCGGTCGCAGGAGTAGAAGCGCTGCTTCTCGGAGGAGGAGGAGGAGTGCTGCTTCCTCTCCTGGGACCGCCCACGCTCCTTCTTGTCCTTGCCAGAAGACTCACCGGCCTGGGCTACTGAAAGAAGAACGTTGGTCAGGGGTCACCAGCGTGAGGGGCTCCTGGGTGTGTGCAGGGAGGTCCTTGAGTTCAGGCAGGACCCCCAGTCCCACCCGCCGGCCGGTGCAGGGAGGAGGACAAGTGGCCCCTCACTGTGTTGGTATTAAATTACACCGAGGAGCTTCGTGTTAGTAGAGGAGCTGGAAAGTTTGTCAGAGGCACAACGGTGGGGTGGGGGAGCCCAGCACAGCTTTCAGTTTGGAACAGTAAGATCCTGAGCTGGAAGAGATCCATAAAGATCGCCCCATCCAACTCTTGGCCCCGCACAGTTCACCCCAACAATCCCCCCCTGTCCCTGGGGAGCCTGGGCAGTGCCAACCACCCTCTGGGGGAAGAACCTTTTCCTGAGATCCAACCTGACCCTGCCCTGACGCAGCTCCAGCCATTCCCTGGGTCCTGTCCCTGCTCACAGGGAGAAGAGATCAGAGCTGCCCCTGCTGAGGAAGCTGCAGACCCCGGTGAGGTCTGACCTCAGGCACTGGTGCATCCCTGGGGGCTGCACCAGCTCCATCAACAGGACCCTGTTGTGCTGCTTTTGTCACCTCCTGTGGCCTTCACTGTGCGGGCATTAAACTATACTGAGGAGCTCCATGTGTGTCCTGCTGAGCCCGAAGCTGGAGGAAGGCAGGGAGTTCTGCAGACTGGATGGGCAAAAAAAGTGTCAAGTCCTTCCCACTAAATACACTTCTCCAGACTTCTAAAATCCATATAGGAGCTGCCAGGAGGAAGGTAACAGAAAATGCCCAACAAGGCAGCCGAACTGGTGACAAATGAACATTTCTCTTTGGGTTAATTGATGAAAAATGAACATTTCTCTTTGGGTTAATTGATGAAAAATGAACACTTCTCTTTGGGTTTGATCATCTTTCTGCCTTATTCCAGGGACAGAAGTCCCCACTGACACCAAGGGAAGTGGCAAAGCAACCAATCCCCTTTCCATAAATCCTGGCAATGCCCTCCTTAGGGTAACAGGGCACGCACAGGCTCCCAAAAAACCTCGGGAGACTACACTGAGAGTCACTAAGTGCTTCTTCATTACCAAACCCATTGGTTTCACTCCCTAAATTCCCGTGCAATGAGGCCCGTGGGATCACTCACAAAGCCAGGAGACACTCACCAGCCTGTCCATCGGCCAAGTGATGGGCGGCCCTGTCCAGGGACTTCTGCTTCTTCTCTTTCCTCCGGTGGCAGCGGTGGTGGTGGTGGTGGTGCCCCTGCTCCGGGGGCATCCTCTCCAGGGAGTACTCGTAGAGGTGCATGGCATGAGGGCGCTGCGGGGTCAGCGTGGACACGGAGCGTTTCATGGGACTCGTGTCCGGGATGGGCTGCAAGGCAGAGGGAGGCACACGGAGCAGGGTGAGGGCAGGGCTGCCCCTGCCCCACTGCCTGGCACCCACCGTGGGCAGGGTCAGCGAGAGAAAGGGGCGAGGAGAAAAATGGTTAATTGGATACGACAGGAACAGCAGGCAGGAGGACTCGCTGGATGGGGGATCGAGCGCTGAATCGAGGGGCAGGTGTGAGCTCAGATGGCTGAGATGGGCTTTACTTCAGCACAGTGCCAACCCACGGGTACCATGAGCCACAGGCAGCACTTCACAGCACACACAGCGGCACAGGGTCACCAGGAGGGCAGCGGGGACACGGGAGGGCAGCAGGGACACGGGGACAGCGCAGTAGCCAAGCGCCTCACAGAGAGAATCCTCCAAGACTAGTTTCACCCAAAGCTGCTTCAGGGCCTTTGTGGCCATCCCAAAGCATGAAAGCACTGCTGAGCATCACGTGGAGAGGGAGAAAGATCAGGGATAAGTGGGCAAGGGACAGGCCAAGCCACCGAGAAATTAATTCTGCCTCCCTGCAGGTAAGACAATCCCATCCAACATTTCAACCTCTCTTGTCCCACCATCACTCCTTGTGGCTGGGACAAGCAGGTTAGCATGCATGTCCTGCAATTCTACCGGGACAACTCCAGAAATGAATACTGGGGTTTGGCATTCCCGTTTTCCAATCATTTGTGGCCCAACATCTGGACACCGAGTGCAGTAACCTGCCTTCCATGGCACTGCTGGACCCCCTCCCTGTGCCAGGGCAGCTCCAGACTCTGCTCCCTTCCCTGTGGGTTCAAAGCCTTACAAAGATGCTCTGCAGAACCCAAGACAATTTGGCAGGACAGGTATTCCCACAGCCTTCCCCACTGCCCAGCCACCAGGTAGAAAGCTCAGAAAAAGAGGAGCATTCCCACGCCTCCTTCTCTGCTGGCTCTGGGTGGAGACAGTGCTTCATCCACCCTCTGGAGGCTTCCCTGGCTCTGAGGAGAGACCCCAGAGCACGGTGGTCCAGTCTGAGAGGGAAGGAGTTCAGGATGTTCTCTGCTTCCTCAGCCTCACACTTGTTTGAATTCACAGTCCAATAAGTGCCTCCAACAACACTCCTCGCAGAACATTTACTTTGCTCACTGTAACCTTTTCCAAAGAGCCCTGTATTATTTTTCCTGTCTGTTCTGTTTTGTTTGCTTACCCTGAAACTCAGCTCTCTGAATATCCTGTGATATTTACCCAGTGCCAAGCCAGTTGTTTCACAGCTCTGCTCCTTATTTTGAGTGGAAAGAGCCACCCTCCCTCCCATCACAGGCAGATTATCCTGGCTCTGAAGGTGCAATATGGGCAGTCACCCAAATTTTGGTGCTTCCCACTGAAGGGCAGTTGATTTTGTCACCTCTTGTGGCCTTCAGTGTGTGGGCATTAAATTATACTGAGGAGCTTCATGTTTGTCCTGCTGAACCTGAAGCTGGAGGAAGGCAGGGAGTTCTGTAAACTGGATGGTCTGATGGGCAAAAAAAGGGACAAGTGGAAGTCCCTCCCACTAAATACACTTCTCCAGATTTTCAAAATTCAAAATCCACACAGGAGCTGCCAGGAGGAAGGTACCAGAAAATTCCCAACAACAAAGCAGCCAAACTGATGACAAATGAAAATTTCTCTTTGGTTTGGTCCTGTTTCTGTGCTTCTGCCAGGGAATCTGGAATTCTGTGCTTATTCCAGGGACAGAAGTCCCCACTGACACCACGGGAAGTGGCAAAGCAACCAATCCCCTTTCCATAAATCCTGGCAATGCCCTTGTTAGAGTAACAGGGCACTCACAGGCTCCCAAAAAACCTCAGGAGGCTACACTGAGAGTCACTAATTGCTTCTTCATTACCAAACCCATTGGTTTCACTCCTTAAATTCCCGTGCAACGAGGCATATGGAATCAAACAAGAAGCAGAACAAACAAATAAAATAAACAAAACAAATAAAATAAATAAAACAACCAAATAACCCTTCCCCCCCAGCTACCAGAGCGTGCGACGTGCAACCGTGGATCGAGGGAACAGCAAAGTGGGAAGAGGGAGCGGCTGCATTGGGCTCCAGATGAGAAGGGGGGGGGGGGGGAAGTAGAGGGTTCAAAGGCAGGTTAATAATTTCTTAGCGTGAATTTAAGAGGATATACAACTTAGTGCAAACTACATACTGCCAGGTAACTCCCAGGCGACCGTGCTTTGCTCCTCTGCAAACAATTCGGACAAGATGAGAGACATTATTGGAAGCAGCCCCACAGTACAGCCATTGTCAGACATCACGGCAGATGGGCAGCAGACACCATGACGACCAGGGAGGGAGGGGATGGGGGCAGGACGGCAGACGGGGAGGTTGAAAACACGGGGAAGGTATAGTTTTTTTTAAAAAGTGGAACGTAAAAAAGACAGAGGAAGGGCGGGCGAACAGAAAGGGAGACAGCCAGAAACAGAAAGCGTCGCAAAGGAGAGTTAGAAAGAACTCAAAAGTTTGGGGAGGGGCAGAGCAGCACGTGAGAGGGAGGGGGGAGGGAGGAGACACACACAGAAAGTCCGTCAGTTATTCACCCAAAGCCACGACCAGTATTATTTACACGTGTACTGTTAAATGAGGTTAGATCTGCTCGGGGATTCCCGGCCTGATTCACAACCAGATGAGGCACTTCCACGAGGGGCAGCGACGCCCTGGGGGACACAAACCACACACTTCTGCCAGGGACACCCCCTTCTGCAAAAGCTGAGTGCCACGGAGAGGAGTTTGCCAAGGAAAGGCTCCCGCTGCTGGCCTTGCTGCTGCCAACCGCATCCCCCTGCACGGGAAGATGCTACCGGTGCTGCAGGATAAAGGATAACTTTGCTCTGGCAGGGAGGATGGGTTTGCTTTGGGGTCTGGTGCTTTTATTAAGCATGTTGAGGAGCGCTCCTGATAACGCAGCGAATCCCAGCTCACACAAAGGCTGCACCTTCTGAAGCCAGCTGGGAAATTCGCTGCTGAGGGGCAGCCTGTGCCAGCCCTGGCACGGTGGCACAAAGATTGCATGTGCTGGAGCTGCTGCCGTGTGTGCAGAGCACAAGCTTTGAGTTTTAGGGTGCAGCAGCTCTTTCATGCTGCATTCTTCCATATCTCTCCACAGAGAGCAATGGGAACAGCCCCCAAACCCAGGCTGCTCCCTCCTGATCAGGAATCAGGCCCTTGGAATGAGACAGGAGATGTTCTGACACACAGGAGGCAGGACAGTGGCTGGAGAGTGTTTGGGACAGTCAGCAATGAACATGTGGAATGGCCAGAAATGGTCTCTGACATCCTACACACACAAGCTGCTGTAAAAGCCAACTCTCTGATGAGATTTCTTTAGGAAAAGCTACCCAAGGGAAATCCTCAACACCATTTCACTGGCCAAACTCACAGTTTGAGTTGAGTATGAGCTGAGTATGGTGGGAAAAGGGAAAACCAGGAGGATGCTCAGTGTCCCAAAGCAGCATTCCAGGCACAGGCTCCCTGCTGGGAGCACAAAGATTCCATGGGCTGGAGCTGCTGCTGTGTGTGCAGAGCACAGGCTTTGAGTTTTAGGGTGCAGCAGCTCTTTCATGTTCTGCTTCCCACAGAGAGCAATGGGAACAGCCCCCAAACCCAGGCTGCTCCCTCCTGATCAGGAATCAGGCCCTTGGAATGAGACATGACATGAGTGGGGAGATGTTCTGACACACAGGAAGCAGGACAGTGGCTGGAGAGTGTTTGGGACAAACAGTCAGCAATGAACATGTGGAATGGCCAGAAATGGTCTCTGACATCCTACACACTAAGCAGTGTCCACGAATTACTGGAGAAGTAACTCTACGATGGGATTTCTTTAGGAAAAGCTCCCCAAGGGATCTCCTGGACACCATTTCACTGGACAAGAACAGTACAGCACGTGCTCAGTGTGGTGGGAAGAGGAAAAACCAGGAGGATGCTCAGTGTCCCAAAGCAGCATTCCAGGCACAGGCTCCCTACTGTTCTCTCCTATATTCATCTGAGACAGTCACAGCACATCTCCTGATGTTTTCAAGGCCAAGGCACGTGAGCATGTCCTGCTGGGCTGTCTGATGATGACCCACAGCTGGCAATGGGAAATACATGTCTTTCTCTGGCAAGTGGCATTGCCCCCAGTCAGTGAGGACACCCTTGGGTGGGCAGCCCTCAGCCCCAGCCACAGGGATCCCTCTGGGCTGCTTTTTGCTGCAACCAGGGGTGAGTAAAACCGGGGACAGCGCTGTGACTACACACCAATACCTGCTGGAATAAAGGTCTCCTGTCTCCAGATCAGCAAACACCTCCTAAAACAAACATCCACAAGCAACACAACAAGCAGAGAGAGCAGCCCCTGAGTTCCTGGCCCCCTCCAGCAGTGAGGACTCCCCCGCTCACCTTGGTTTCGGCAGCCAGGCGTGGCATGGAGGCCGCCCGGCCCTGGCTCTCCAGGCCTGGCTGGGGCTCTCCATTGGCAACTGTGGGGCTGATTTCCCTCATTTCTACCACCTGATGGAAACATGACATGTTTTCAGTAGCAAGAACATGAACATCAGCTTTGAAGCCATCACCTGAGCTTTGAAGCCGTCACCTGAGCATGCTTTGCTAGGCTGGATGTCGTCGTGAGGAGATGGTGGGATGGGACAGAGAGTAAATGAAGAGCTGTGGAGAAGGTTACTCTCTGTCTGCTGGGCTTTCTGCAGCAAGGACAGCACTGGGCCGGGCTCTTCCAGCAGCCACGAGCCCCAGGTGTGACCTCTGAAACCCCTCACCCGAGCTGGGACACTGATGGCACTGGGGCTGAGATAATGGGAAGGGATAACCTTAGGTAGCCTATTGCAGCAAGACAGAATTCCATGGAAAGGGTGTCCCCATCACAGCTATCAGGCTGTGGCAGTTGTTGGGATTTGGTCTTCCCTCATAAGCAAATTTGGGGTTGTAAGAGCAACACTTGCCTCACGGGGCAGCTCGACCATTTCATGCGTGTCACCCTCTCTTCACCTGGTTTCCTGAACATTTTCTAAAGTCCTACCACAGTTGTGGAATCTCCTGCCCCTCACCATGCCCTGCCCTCCCAGTGCTCACCCGTTCGATGGGGATCTCCTCGGAGTGGCCTCGCTCAAAAGCCGGGGTCCTGGTTTCATAAAACACGTCCTGGGTGCGCTGGGTCCCCCAGGAGCTGGACTCTTTGATCCCCCCCTCTGGGGCTGGGCTGCCAGGAGGAAAAGAGGGAAGGAAAAACAGTCACTCCTTCACAAAGATGATTTTGCTGAACTCGCAGTGTGGCAAACTTGGGAAACCAGAGCTGCTGGTGAAACTATGAGATCCCCTGGGTTTTTCCGGGATCACATCCTACAGAGCCTGAAGATCCCACGAGAACGAGGAAATCACAACAGCCATATTTTTATTTTTTTTTTTCAGTAACTGAGAAAAGCAATTTCTGTGACTTAATTCCTGATGAAGAAGAACGAAGAATTTTGGAGCTCAGGCCAGTTCTGTGAGCAGGACAAGCTGGACAGTGGTCAAACACCAAAACTAAAGGACATTCACTCAAGGTCCAGTGGCACCCACAGGTTTCACTGCTGAGCCACTGGTGGCTTCCAAAATGCCCCCATCAGGGTTGTTTGGGATGTTTAAACCTCAGATGTCTATCCCTAAAAATCCACAGCAGTTGTGTGACCCACACAAGTCACCTGGAGAGCAGAAAATGGAGAATTCCTTAGGGAATTCTGTTCCTAGAACTGTTTGGAAAGCTCTCTGGGGAGGGATTATTTTGCCCAAAGAGACACATTCTGTCGTGGCAAGTCTAAAGAAGCTCTTGCTGTTACCAGGTGCCCTGAGCTCCAGGGATGACCTTGTTCCCAAGGACCCCCCGGACTCCCAGGAACTCCTTGGTGGATTGGGGTTTGTTTGGTTGTTTTGCAACGATCCCAAATTCCCACGAGGAAACTCCCACTCACAACCACCCACAATGGAAAGCTCTGCCATGAAGATTCAAGGGAGGAAACACAAAGGTCTGGAGACCCCAGTGTCCCACCCCAGGCAGCAGTGGGAAGCAGAGACACAGGGAGGCATTTTGGAAGCCACCAACGGGAATCGTCCCCGCCACGGTTTGACAGGACTGGGGTGTTCCCACTTCCAGAGCCACTGAACCCAGTGCACACACCCAGTGAGGGCTTTGGGGGGGGTCAGGGGATACTCACAGAGCACCCCCGTTGTTGAGAGAGGCCGAGCTCTTCTGGCGCAGGAAAGCCTTGGCGTTGTTGAACGCTGTGGGCTGGGTCTGCTCCAGGGTGGCCTTCAAGGGGTGGAACAGGGACACTGGGCCAGGCTGCCAAGCACAAGGGAAGGGTGTCAGAGACACAGCTGGCGTGGGCTGAAGGGCTTTTAACAAAAGTCCACTTTGCCGGGCTGGGAGATGAGCCCAGCACAAAGCCCAGCCCAGCACAAAGCCCAGCCCGGCCCAACCCCGGCGGGGAGAGGCTCTGAAGGACCTGCTGCCCTCAGCTTTGTACAAGTCAAGTCGTTGCACTGCAATCCCCCATCCCTCTAAGTGTTCTCCCAGACTGGGATTTCCCTCAGGGATGGGATTTCCCTCAGGTTGTGAGACGGGCTCTGCTGCAGCCACCCACGAGCAGGACAGATCTCCGTGCCCTGCTGGAGCTCAGCTGGATGATCACCCTAAAAACAACAGCTGTTTGTCCTACTGGAAACCACTGGGGTTTCAGTCCAAAGCCATTTGTGTGGAAATATCACAGAATATTCAGAGTTGGAAGGGAACCCCAGGGATGACCGAGTCCAACTCTTAAATAAATGGTCCATGATCTTGGCATGACCAGCACCAAGTTTTAACCAACTGAGCTAAACTCAGGGTGGAAATACTTTCAAGAAATACTTCCAAGAAATGGCAAAAAAACTTAAAATCTATTAGAGCCAAAATGTTTTTGAATAATTCCCATTAGAGCCCAAAAAATTTTCAATAATTCCCATTTTCAAAAGTAACTCACAGCATTTTACAGTCAAACTACCCTCAGCTTTCACTAATTCTTTGATGCCCCCAAAGAAATCTTCTGGTGTTCCCCAGTCCCTGGGCCACTTCTGAAAATAGGATTTAGACTGTCAAACATCAGCTGCCATTTTTTGGAAAAAGTCTTTCTGCATCTCCCGGAAAAGGTGACTGGAACAATTTTTTTAAAATAGTTTTTCAGAGAGACTTTCAGGAGGGGTTTTGATTTTTGAGACAGCATTTCCCAACCCTGCCTGGAGAAGAATGCAGAGCTTCTGGATGAAACTTGCTGGTGAGAGCTGCTCAATGCTGGAAAAGGGGCTGCCCAAGAGGGAGGATGGAGTAAAACACCTTTTTGGTGGGTACCTGGCAGAGGCCTCCGGGGGGTTGGACTTGTTCCCTGCTGTTCTTATTCTGCTTGTAGAAGTCAAATATCATCAGTGCTGCGTAGACCTTCCCCACAGTCATTTCATCAGCTGCCAGAGGAGGGTGAGACATTGAAACATGAAAACATTCCAAGGATGAGAAGCGCAGGGTGAGTCAAAAAGCACAAAAAATAACAGCAAACGGGTACAAAAAACAAGGAGAGGGGAGAAGAAACATCAGAATAAGGAGGCAAAACAGACACAGAAAAGTAGGGGAAAGAAAATAATGATGAGGAAAAGGTTACAACAGACTTCTTCAGCTCTTTGCCTGTTGCTGCCTCTCCCATCTGAGATCAAACACAGAGATCACGCAGCAAAAACCAGGCAGGAAACCTCTGTGGCATTGTAAGCACTGCTGAGAGAACTGCTAAATTCATGCCAGATCCACAGCCAGCTTGTTATCAAGAAAAAAAAGCCTTATTCCTCTTTGTTTGAATTACAGTCAACCTGGGCATAAGGGGCTAAATAAACATTTAAAGAGCATTTCATTTTTCCAGATGTCTTTTTCCACCCTCAGAGAGCCAGAACCAGCCCTTCCCAACACAGCACTGGAGCACTCACCATGGAGCAGGGAGTTGGGGCAGTGGATACAGAGGGCAGGGAAAGACTAAAGCAGTCACTGCCCACTGATTGGCACCTCCTCAGCAACCTCATTTCTCTTAATTAACAGTGCCCTTATTGCTCTGCACTGCTCCTCATTAATCAGGAACCCAGAAGCCTTGGCTGGGCAAACTTTCCATTTTCTCAGCACATTCTCCCAGGGCATCATCAACCCAAGGGCCTTCAGTACCCAAAAGACCTCACTTCTGATTCCCTGAGTTCTCAGCAAACTGCAGTTTTCTTCTCCTGGTTTTCAGGAGCTCAGATGGGAGAAACTGCTCTCCCATCCTGCAAGGCACAGGCTGGAGGCTGACAAAGCCATGGAAAAGCCCTGGAAAAGGCCACACTCTTGGCCTTCTTGCCACTGTTTTGGGGTTCTTTTCCCCTGTGTACAGAAAATCTCCTGTAGCATCCTGAAGTCCACGCCTAGACGTGACCTCAGCTTCCCTGATCCCTTTGTGCCCATGGCATGGCAGCACAGAGGATGCCAAGAAGCTGATTCCACATGACTGTGTGCCCAGATGGGGCTTGGGACAGCTCAGGCAAGGAGGGGGAAACCTTTCCTGGGCTTCTTGAGTGGCTGGGCTGGATCCAGTGCTTGCTGCTGAACCACTTACGTTTGTGAGGAGGCACCAGCAAATCCAGAGTCTTCTGGGAGAGGTTGGGCCAAACCAGGGAGATCTCCTTTCTCAGCTCAGCATCACACTGGTGCTGTTTAACTCCACCTGCAGAGAGGGAGGGGAGAGGGAGAGGCACAGGAAGGAGAGTGAAAACCCTTGTCCTGGCAGCACATCCCAGCATTTGCATCCTCATCCTCCCATTCCTTGAGAAGGGGGAGCCAGCAGAGCTGCAGCAGATGTGGAGAAGGGAACTGGTGGCTCCCTCCATGAAAACAGTGTGTGAATCCAGCAGGACCATCATCACCTCAACCTGCTGACCCTCTGCTCTTACCTGGGGCTTAAACTTAAGCTCAGACTTGCTCCACCTGACTGCAGGTGCCTCCTGCTTTAGGGCACTGGGAAGCACCCCCAGGAAGCAGCAGCACCTCCCAGGTGGGATGCAAAGGAGGTGTTGCACATGAATCATGGAATGATTTGGGTCAGAAAGCACCTTAAAGATCCTCCAGTTCCTTGGGCAGGGACACCTTCCACTGAGCAATGCCATGAGGGGTGATAAACCCCCTCTGCCACCAACTCTACCCAAAATCTTTGGCAGTGAGACACTGCAGGTTGTTCTGTACCAGCAGCTCCATCTCAAGGTAAAACAGAGCTGAGCTGTTCAAAGGGGCACAGCGAGGCCTTAATGCAGCAGTGGGAAGTGATTAAAGGCTGGGTGAGCCAACAGGGCAGCTCCCAGCTGAATGCTCTGCACAGGAGCCAATTAACTAGTTCATCTGAATGACAGAGATTATTTTTCTAAGAGAAAAGTACTGGGAGGAGGCTCTGGGTACTCTGTTACACGGTGGTTTGAACTCCCACACAGCAGCTCATTAGGGAGGCTTTATTAAGGGCCTGTTAGTCCTACTAAAGACTCAATTAAATGTAGCACATGAAACCCATTCAAACGAGCTCATAACAACACAACAGGTCAAAACCTCACACCCCACAGCAGAGAGAAAGCAGAGAAAGAATCCAGTGCTACCAGCTGAGCTCTCTTCTCTGGTTCCTTCCAGGGTAGAGCCAAAAAAAAAGGGGGGGAAGGGGGGAGCCTTTTCCAGTTAAAAAGGCTGTTTGTGTTACCATTGAGTTACCAGGTAACTAGAAGCTGCAAATAACACAAACTCTCAGCATCCTCATCTAGACATTATCCCTGAAATAAGGTGCTGACCCTTAAAGTCCCAGGAAATCCTAAAGGCATCCTTAGGAACGAGTGTCTGATGCTCAGCATCACTCCCCGAGCTTCATTCCCTTAGGGAGCCCCAGTGACCTCCAGAGTTTGTCTCCTTCCAGCAGTGCCAACCCAAAGCATCCGAGTTCCAGCAACACGTGAGGGGGGTGATTAACACAGGGAGGTTGCAGTGCTGGCCTAAAACTGCTTAGGAAAGCACAAACCCCAACCCTGCCTTGCCCTGTGCTCATAGGAGCGTTGTTACCTCCTGTTAACTTTTAAATTAGGCATAAAAGTGCTGGGGCCAGGCATGCCTTGATTGTGACCCCAGCCAGGCTGATTAAATGCTGTAGTGACCCAGAGAAAAGGCCAGTGTGTTTTATTACATTACAAAGTTTAATTGGGAAGTCAAGTAAACGCCTGATTAAACACTTAAATAATTTTATCTCAAGGCAGAATGTGGTTCAGGGCACTTGGAGTCAGTGCCTGGCTGCCAGCAGAGAGCAATTGGGAAGGAAGGGCTGGTTTTCCCCCATGGTGGAATAGTTAAGGGGTGTGGAAATTCTCATTTCTGTTGAACAGCAATGAGCACACACCAGGATTCTTCTCCTTTGAGAGCTCTCCACTGGGATGGCCAAAGATCTCCAGGGATGTAGCCACCCTAAAGGCAGAGGGATGCTCAGGATCCCTCTGTCCCTGCCCCAAAGCTCCCTTGCCCTCGGGTGCTGGCAATAGGAAAAGAGGATTTCCACCAGGAGCAGAATTCCTGTGGTTTTGAGAGGACACCAAGCCAGCAGATGAGCTGGGGGCTGAGCCACGTGTGCTCTCAGCAAACTGTCTTCTCCTGGTTTTCCAGAGCTCAGATGATGAAAATTGCTCTCATCCTGAAAGCACAGGCTGGAGGCTGACAAAGCCATGGAAAAGCTCTGGAAGAGGCTACCCAGGGCACTGGGTTTGGTTGGGTTTTCTATGTACAAGAAATCTGCTGTACCATAATGAAGTCCAAGCCCAGATGTGGCTCCAGCTTCCCTGATCCCTGTGTGACCATGGCATGGCACAGAGGGTGCCAAGGAGCTGAACTGCCCTTGTTTCCTTTGCTGTGCCCTCCAGATGACTGTGCCATCCCCTCAGACATCCCCTTCTCCTCACCTGAGGCCAGTTTGATCTCCAGGGATGCCATGCAGCAGGGATGCTCAGGACCCCTCTGTGCCAGCCCCCAAGGCTCCCTTTGCCCTCAGGTGTTGGCAGATGCCAGGCTGGCAATAGGAAAACAGGATTTCCCCCCATGGTTTCAGGAGGACACCAAGCCAGCAGATGAGCTGGGGGCTGAGCCACGTGTGCTCTCAGCAAACTGGAATTGTCTTCTCCTGGTTTTCCAGAGCTCAGATGATGAAAATTGCTCTCATCCTGAAAGCACAGGCTGGAGGCTGACAAAGCCACAGAAAAGCTCTGGAAGAGGCTACCCAGGGCACTGGGTTTGGTTGGGTTTTTCTATGTACAAGAAATCTGCTGTACCATAATGAAGTCCAAGCCCAGATGTGGCTCCAGCTTCCCTGATCCCTGTGTGACCATGGCATGGCACAGAGGGTGCCAAGGAGCTGCACTGCCCTTGTTTCCTTTGCTGTGCCCTCCAGATGACTGTGCCATCCCCTCCCTCTCACCTGAGGCCAGTTTGATCTCCAGGGCAGTTCTGATCAGGGCCATCAGCGTGGATGTGAAGTGCACGGTCAGGTCCTCGGGGGAGATGGGCATGTTCATCCTCACCAGGCGCTGGGGAGGGAAACACTCGCCGTGAGGGTGGCTCAGGATTCCTCCCCCCACCCCGCCCTCCCCTCTGCCAGCCCTTCAAGCACCCAGACTGAGACATGGGGGAACATTTTGTGTGCTGAAATGCAGCTCCTGGATCTCAGCTCCTGTCCAGGAGCAGGGCTGAGACACCACAGTGGCTCCGGTGGTTAAACGAGGGGGTTGCCAGCACTGCACCGCCATCCTACAAGGAGTTCTGCCAAAAGCAGCCAGTTGGGATGCTCCTCTGAACCCATTTCCCAGCCTGCTGCCCTGCTCCTGACAGTCTCCAGTGATGCTGCAGCTCCAGACGTGTGGCTGGTACCCAAAGCAGCGATAAACCACAACTCCACCTCCTCCACCCTTTCCTACACCTAAATTTTGGTTTTACAACAGGAGAAACAGCAACAAATGGGAGCTGGCAGCGCTGAAGGAGGGAAGCTGAAGGAGAGTTTGCTTCTGCAGCTCCATCCTGAACGTGGCTGTGCCCCTTCCAGCTGTGCAGGCGGCCTGGCTGGGGAGTGGGACGTGAGGGAGGCACTTCCAGTGACAAGGAGGGCTTTGTCCAGGAGATGTGCAGTCCCTGAGTGGGCCCATGGTGGGACCACCTCGGAAACAAGGCTGCTGAGCCCTGTGATGTGGCTCAAGCACCTGGGGCAGCTTGGGACTGGCTGCTAGAAGGTGAAGGTGTCCACATCTTCCCACTGGAGACCCCTGGGTTCTGGCTCTTCCCTCCTTGCCCTGTGGGGCATCCTTGTCTCCTCCTTCCCTCCCAGTCAATGAGCTACACAGCCCCATCCAGACCTTCCCCATGGATTAACACGAGCAGAACTGTGATTGCCACCATGTTCTTTCAATCCAAACGTGGAACAGTCCCTCAGGATCAGCATCTTCCAAGATTTTCAGACCTGGCAGCTACTCCTTCCCCCATCATCATCCAGGGCCACCTCTGACAGGGCAAACTCATCATTCTGGTAAGCAAGGAATTGCTTTGGAAAGCTGGGGCTCCCCTGAACCCCTCTGGCAGCAGAACATGGACGTGCTGACAGGGGAAAAGACTCTCCAAGCCTTGCTGATAACCTGAGCCACACATTTAAAGGATGGGTTTCTTCCCCTGATGATTTATCAGCTCCTCAGCTCTCACCAGCTCTTTGGAAACGTCCTTGTCCAGAGCCATATCAGCCAAACCTGGAGCCATATCAGCCAAACCTCAGTGTTTCCACTCTCCAAGGGAATGTGGAGCCTGAGGAGGTCACTGGGGGTTGAGCTGCCTGAGCTGGAACCCCCAGGGGCAGCTTGGCCAGGGCCCCTTGCTGGGAGGGAACTTCATCCCCATCTGAGAGCTCCTTAAGCTGATTTTTTTTCTGATCTCTGTCTCTGCACAGAAACCCTGTCTGTGTTTCCCAGCAGCCCCAAGTGCTGTCAGAGAGCTGTCAGTGGGCTGCAGCCCCTCCCTTGGCTCTGGGCACAGGGCTGGCAGTGTTTTCCAGAGCTGCAGCTGCTGGTGCAGCCCCGCTCACCCTCCTGGCTGGCACAGGGAGAACGTGTGGCAGGAGCACCTCTGCTCGTGGGCACATTTTGGGTGAAGGGAAACAGGTTGTAGGTGAGAGCAGGGACCTGCTGGAGCCTCAGGTGAGGTGAGAGGCAGAGTGGTCCCTGTGAGCCCTGATTCTTGCTCCTGTGCTTCACCCAACCCAAACCAAGCCTTGCTCACCCTTTCCATCCCTGGTTTAGCCTCCCTGCTCGGAGCAATCTCTGACACAACCTCCCAGAGGTCTGACCTGAGCTGCCTCAGAATCACAGCCTGCTCTGGCTTGGAAGGGACCTTTAAAGTCATTTTATTCTCATGTCTGAGACGAACCTTAAAGGTCATCTTCTTCCAAGCCCCTGCCACAGGCAGGGACACCTTCCACTAGCCCAGGTTGCTCCAAGCCCTGTCCAACCTGGCCTTGGACACTTCCATTATTTATCTTTTCACACATCTCTCTCATTCCATGCTGGAGAGACAAGAGACCGGTGTAACAACCTCTGCCATCTCCTAAACTCTGAGACAAACCCTGGAATCTCCAGGATCTTCCTTCCAGCATGCCCAAGGTCATTTTCCATGTCTGTCCAGCCTCAGAGACAGGGAAATCAAAGCCAAGACTTCCCTCCCTTTATAATTCATGGACAGTATCAAATGCTGGCAACACCACAGGTTTGGGTTTCTGTTCACTCATGTCAATGAGACAGGATTTCAATTGAGATTTTTGCCCTCAGCACACAAAAAGTTGCAAAAAATCCATCAATGAGAGTCCACAGTTACCACTTGGAGAGTCCCACTGAGTCCCACTTCAGTGGGAGAGTTAAGGGATGGAGAGAGAGAGAGAGAGAGAAGATGCATGGAAGTGAAGAACAAGCAGATGAGAAATAATTCCCCACAGGAGAGCTCTATCCTCACAAAAACTAGCCCAAAAACTGGCACTGACACATCCCAGGTCCCCTCAGCTGATTTTCCAGCCTGAATTCCCAAAGGACATGGAGGCAGAACAGAGGGCACATCACACCCCTGCTGTACAAAGGCTTTTCCTCCTAAATTTTAACCAGGAGCATTTAGGGAAAGGTTTTCCAGGGCAAATTATTTCTACATGCTGAGCCAAACCCACGGAGAAATTCCAGGCAGAGGTGCCGTGAACAGGCACCTGGGAGAGGCTCTTCCCAAAAAGCACCTCCTTTCCCTCCTCTCCCTGCCATTCCCTCCACACACTTCCTGGTCTCCAGCAGCATTTTTTCCATCCCAAGTGTGCAAACTGGTCCAACTGGTCCACTCAGAGACCTTCTGGTCGCTGTGATTTCCAACCTGACAACCAGAACTGAGCAGAAAAAGTGGCTTTGTGCTGCTCCTCAGGCATCTCCCAGCCCCCCAGGCAGGGATGGGATGTCTCCCTCTCTCCATCAGGGTGGAAAACTGGGATCCATCTCCCCATCCTTCCCTGACAACCAGTCGAGGAGAACTCGCTCAAGGCCAGCTGCAAGTTGCACCTCCCAGGGCAGAGCAGCTGCTCATTTTTTATCCCCAAAAGAGCCCCTAAAATGAGCCAGAAGCGCCTAAAACCTGCTGCAGCCAAGCCCTCCGGGCCTCAGCCACAAAATCCTTCCCAAAACCAGGGAACTCCGCTTCCTTGGAAGCCTCTGAGTCGAGAAAATAACGTTGCTTAAATAAATATATGGCATTTCTGGGAGATGAAGGAGTTGGGGGAAAGGAGTTGATTCATCCTGGATTCAAAATAGCTTTGCCACCAGGATGGGTGGGAGGGGAGGGAGGAGGTTGGTGAGACCTGAGCCCAAACCCAAACCCCTCTGGGCACCCAGGGGTGCCAAGGAATCAGCCAGACACTGGCACAGCCCCCCCTGAGGAGGGACTGGATCCCTGAACATCCCTGACCATTCCCTGGGGTGTTTTCCTCATTCCAGAAATGCAGCTGAAAGGCTGAAACAAGATGATATCTTCATTTTTTTCCTCTATTATTACGAAACAACCCCATACATAAAAATATCTCCTTGTGCAGAGCAGAAAATTCCAATCCTTTCCAAACCACTTGCTAATTTTACCTGTATTTTAATTCCCTACAGGACCCATAAAGGAACTGGAATCCAACTGAAAAGTGGGGAAATTTCTCAAATATTTTGCTTGACCCAAAATTTTCTCTTTGGAAAATTCATCAAGAACTTTTGATTTTCATCCTTAACCAGCAGAGAAAAAATCCCAGTGTTGCTGATCCAGTAGGGACAACAAAAGGGTTAAAAAAACCCTGAACCAGATGTTTAGACTGTACTCAGTTTTTTTTTTAAAAATTAACTTCTCCTTCAGTTTTTGCTGTTTTTTCTGTTTGAAGTTGTGCTTCCAGGCTGTGTCTCGTGTTTTGGAATGGGATATAAAAATGTAATTTAAAAAGAAAAATTAAGAAAAAATTAAAAACAATACTAAAAAAAAAAATCCAAGATGAGACAACAACCAACCAAAAAATCCCAACAACAAAAATAACCAAAGGAAAACAAACCATAAAAAAAAACCAAAAACAAAACTAAAAAAATCCCACCCAAAAAAACCCCAAACCAACAAAAAAAAACAAAAAACAAAAAAAAAAAAAAAAAAAAAAAAAAAAAACCAAAAACACAAAAATGGGGGATCCTAAAGGGGTGGGTTTTTGGGAAGCAAAAAGGGGGCACCTTTTGGGGAAGCTGGGTCCTCTGGGGGGGTCCCAGGCTGATTTGGGGGGTCCTGCAGAGCAAGGGGGGAGTTCAGGGCTGATTTTGGGGGTCCTGTAGGGTCGGGGGGGGTCCAGCTGATTTTAGGGGTTCTGGCAGAGCAAGGAGGATTTTGGGGGTCCTGCAGAGCAAGGAGGGGGTTCGGGGCTGATTTTGGGGGGGTTGGGGGGTGTCTCAGGCTGATTAGGGGGTCTGGCAGAGCAAGGAGGATTTTGGGGGTCCCAGCTGATTTTGGGGGGTCAGGGCTGATTTTGGGGGTCCTGCAGAGCAAGGGGTGGTGCCAGCGGGGTCCCAGCCGATTTGGGGGGGTCAGGGCTGGTTTTGGGTGTCCCAGCTGATTTTGGGAGTCCCACAGAGCAATGAGGGGGTTTTGGAGGGGGTCCCACCGATTCTGGGGGTCCTGAAGAGCAACAGGGGGGTGTTCAGGGCTGATTTTGGGGGTGCTGCAGGGTCGAAAGGGGTCCGAGAGGGGGGTCCCGGGCTGATTTTGGGGAGTCTGACAGAGCAAGGGGGATTTTGGGGGAGAGGGGGAGTTAGGTCTGATTTTGGGGGAGAGGGGGAGTTAGGTCTGATTTTGGGGGTCCCAGCTCATTCTGGGGGTGATGCCGGGGGTGTGTCCCAGCCGATTTTGGGGGGTGAGGGCTGATTTGGGGGGTCCCGGCCGATTTCCTGCCCGGGCCGGGCAGGAGGAGCCGCGGGCAGCAGATGGAGTCCCCGCTCCGGTTTGGCGGCCGCGC